TTGATTCAGTGACTGGGATAATTGGGATAGGCCAAGTGTCAGAGACAGTGCGACTGGCACAGAACAGAGAGTTTAGGGCTGTTGTACATAGGGTTGCTATGAGTCGCAAGCGACTTGACGGCACATAACAACAACAACATACTGCATTGAAACAGACAGGGGAGAGAACTGTTTAAAAGTGATATATGATTAGGTATTATTATTATGACAGGAGTCCAGAATGAGGCTGCATAGTGGAGTGCACTTGTGGGGAGGGACTATACAACAATGAAAGAATTTTTATTTTACAAAGAGAAGAATGAATTGGGGGGAGGGAGAAAAATGCAATGATGAATGGGAAAAAATGTACTGATGATTTAATGAAAAACCAATATGCTTTGTAAATGTTCTAATAATAAGAAAAAGGTATTTTTTTTAAAAAAAAAAAGAATACTCCAGCACCTCAAATGAAATAGGTAAGCAACCCAATTGTAAAATGGGCACAAGATATGAATAGAACACTTCACCAAAGAGGATATTCAGATGGCAAAGACATGAAGAAATGTTTAAAATTTCCTATCATTTTTCTCAGATAGTCTGATGTCTTCTATTTGCTCATCTAAATTTGTGACTTTGACTCACTCCAGATAACTAGATTGTATAAAGAGAAAGTAATATCCGCATGCCCATTCTAAGGGACAAGAATAAGACAAGGACACAGGAAAGATAGAGGAAATGAGAAGGTGCCAGCTCATTTTGTTTCCATAGGCTTACTGTTCTTTCTTTCAAACTTGCTGGTTCTTCTCAAGAATGAGAACTACCAATCATTGTAACATCCTCTTCTGTTGCTAAGCAACAGCGTAGCCCTCACACTCCCTCTCCCACATTAACGTGGGGAGAACCTTGGACAAAGGAGCTCCCTAGAAGAAAGTTGTAGCTCTGTAGAGAGGACACTAAGGTCACAGAGATGTTGCAAATCATCATGGAGTCCGCCGAGCTTAACCAGCTCCAAAGGCCTGAAGTCAGTCCTTGTGTAACCTTCTACTTTAGAGGTGAGAGGAAGGGTCCCAAATGGTGAGAGAAGAGCCCCCAAGAAGCAAGGCTCATTCAGTGGAAAACTACACTAATGCTTTATTATGTAAAAGATGTTCTTTGGGATGCAAAGGCAGGGCAGGACTCAGCAGTTCTTTAAAAACATTTTTCTTATCGTGACTGCTTTGCTTTCCATTTCTTATTTCAAAAAGAATGGCTAGAGGCAGGAAAAGTACTTTTAAAGCTTCCATAAACTAAGGCTGTGTCATAAACTAAAGGTTAAGAGAACGGGGAGTGGAAATATCTTTGTTTTTAGGACTGCTCTATGGATTTTAAAAACAAATCATTTACATGTCTTGTGATACAATTTCTCATATTTGAATGAGCTTTGCAATCAACAGTATTTCCATCAATAAAGAATTTGCTCTTCACATTAATTCTGTAAGGTATGTAAGGCAAATTTTATTTCCATTGTTTATAAATAAGGAAAAATAAGTGTAGGGGAGATGGGAAATGAGAGAGTGAAAAGGTTTGTAAAGGAGATCAAGAACAGGCAAGAAAGAATTGTAATTGGTTTCCTAGGGATATGGTAACCAAGTACCATAAACTGAGTGGCTTCAAACAATGGAATTAGGAATTCGTTCTCTTACATATCCAGAGGCTAAACATTTGAAACCTAGGTGCTGCAGGATCTCTCCAAACTTTTAGGAAAGACGTCATGGCCTCTTTTGGGTTCTGGCTTCTTGTTACGTCCCTCCAGTCTACCTGAATCTTCACCTGGTCACCTCCCCCAGTGTGTCCATGGATGTTTCTTCTCTTCCTTTTAGAAGGATGCCCATTATAGTGGTTTAAAATCCACCCTAATCAGTTGTATCTTACTCTTATTACCTCTGCAAAGACCTTATATCCAAATAAACTGATACTCAGAGATAATAACAATAATACTTAGATCAAGAAGCTCTAAAGTATCACATTCATAAATACTCAGACCAAGAAGTTGTCTTCTAAACAGAGCAAGGGAACACTGAATGGTTTAAAGTTAAGAAAAGTGTGGGTCATGACTGTATCCTTTCTCCATACCACACCTATTCAATTGTATGCTGAGTAAATCATCAGAGTGGCTGGACTTTATGAAGAGTGAGGCATCAGGATCAGAGCAACAACCTGCATTATGCAGATGATACAACCTTGCTTGCTGAAAGCGAAGAGGACTTGAAACACAGGCTGCAGAAGATAGAAGTCTGAAACCTTTATTACGGATTATATCTCAACATCAAAAAGGCAAAACTCTTCACCACTGGGCCAATAGGCAGCATCATGGTAGACAAAGACAAGATTGAAGTTGTCAAATATTTGTTTCATCTTACTTGGATCTACAATCAACATCCTTGGCCAATACCCTTGGCACCAACAATCAAGAAATCCAAAGATGCATTGCACTGGATAAATTTTCTGTCAGAGACCTCTCTCTAAGATGTTAAAAAGCAATAATGTCAGTTTAAGAACTAAGATGTGCCTGATTCAAGCCATCATCTTTTCAATTATTGACTGTGCATCTGAAAATTGGACAATGACTAAGGATGACAGAAGAATTGATGCCTTTGAGTTGTGGTGGAGGAGAATATTTAATATCCCATGGACTGTCAAAAGAACAATCTGTCTTGGCAAAATGAAGCCAGAGTGCTTCTTGGATACAAGAATGGTGAAACTTTATCTTCACATATTTTGGGCATGCTGTTAGGAGGCTGGTCCTTGGAAATGGCAATATGCCTCAAAAAGTGTAGGGTCAGCAAAAGAAAGGAAGACCCTCAATGAGATAGATTGACACAGTGATTGTAACAATGGACTCAAGTACTTAAACTATGAGGGTGGTGCAACAGGGTCTAGATCCATTGTTCATAGGGGAGCTATGGGTCCAAATGGACTTGTCGGAATCGAACAATAACAGAGGTACAGTTAGTGGTGAGCGGGAGTTAGAAGTCTTGGAGGACTCAATTCAACCCAAATAGAAAAAGAAACAGAAAAATATAAAAAGCTAAGTAGTCAAATTATGTAAGGAAGTGAATACAGACAAATGAGATTCTCCAGGAAGAGTAGGGAGTGACAGAATTGGAACCAAGAGAAAAGAGAGCACAAGCCAACCTGGAAGAGATTTGAACAAAAATTAAATGTCTTTTTTTCTGACCCAGGAAACTGTGCTTGCTGAACCTGACAACACTTAGTGACTAAACATTTTGGACTCTAGGCTCCCAGGCATCCTAGTTGGCAGGTTTAGAGAGGTTTAATGGATGTGTAGAGTCTCTGGGTCCTGAAAATAGTCATAACACCCAGCTGCTAACTAAAAGGTTGGCAGTTCAAGTCTACTCAAAGGTTCCTCAGAAGAAGAACTGATATTCTCAAGAGTTAGGGAACTGGAGACCCAATGACTGATACATGTGAGGTCATGAAGAGTCAAACTCCACAGCACGAGCTTTTCCAGGAGGTGGTCTGTGCATTTGCCCTAGTTGGCCAATTTTATAGCTAGTTGGGAGAATCTCACTCTGATCTTGAGCCCTCTGTCCCATTGCATTGGGCTCACCATTTTCATCCTTCTGGAAATGTCTCTTAGGAACATTCCTAAAATGAGAACCATGAGTTTACCCACAGGTTTATCCACAAACTTTTAGGATTGCTTACACATCATTGATAGTTTTATTCCTGTAGTCCTACTGAATGTCCTATGGGCTGCCAAGAGAACAAACAGGTCCGTCTTGGCAGAAGTGCAAACAGCACGCTCCTTAGAGGCAGGATGGTTAAACTTTGCTCATGCTGTCAGGAGGGGCCAGTCCTTGGAAAAAAGACATCATGCTGGGAAAGGTAGAGGGTCAGCAAAGGAGAGGACACACACAGATCAACATGGTGACCACCATGACGGGCTTGAGCATGAAGGAGATGGCGATGATGGCACAGGACAGGGCAAGGCTTCATTCAATCTGTTGTTCAGAGGGTCTGCTTCCCCGCCTCTATCCCATAGTGTTGTTGTTAAGTGTCATCAAGTCACCTACGACTATAGCGACCCTATGCACAATAGCTCTGAACTTTGTCCTATCATGGGCCAATCTCACTCACTGTCTCAGACATACCTTCCCCTATTACCCCATGTCAATCCACCTCATCCAAGGTCTTCCTCTCCTGTGCTGTCCATCCACCCTTCTACACATGATATCCTTCTCCCAAGACTGGTCCCTCCTGGCAACATGCCCAAATTATGTGAGATAGAGCTTCAAACTCCTAGCCTCCAGAGAGCAGGTTGGTTTCACCCTCTCCAGAACAGACCTATTAGGAGTTTTTTGTTTTTGTGTGGATTTCCCCCCCCCCGATCCATGGTATGTGCAAGACTTCTCCAGGACTACAACTCAAAGGCATCAGTTCTTCTTCTGTCATCCTTAATCATCGTCCAGCTCTCTGATAAATAGCAAGTAATTGTGAAGACATGGCCTGGATTAGATGCACCTTAGTCTCTAGACTGACATCTTTGCACTTCAGCACTTTGGATCACTCCCTAACAGCAGACTCACTTAGTCCAACTAGTCTTTTGATTTCCTGGCTGCTATATCATTGATATCACATGTAAGCAAGATTCTGCTGAAGATCATCCAAAACAGACTAGCATAGCACATCAATAGAGAACTGCCTGAAGTGCAGGCTGGATTTAGAAGATGTCGTGCCACCAGGTATATTATAGCTAATGTCAGATAGATCTTGGCTGAAAGCAGTCTATCTGAGTTTCATTGACTATGCAAAGGCATTTGACTGTGTGGATCACAACAAAATTTGGCTGACTTTCAGAACACTTGATTGTGCTTGTGCAAAACTTATACTTGGACCAGAAGGCAGTCGTCAGAACAGAGCAAGGAAACAGAGCATGGTTCAAAATTGGGAAGGGTGTACATCAAGGATGTGTCCTATCTACATATCTTTTCAATCCATATGCAGAACAGATTATCCAGAAGGCTGGGCTGTATGAGAAGTATGGCATCAGGATTGGAGGTAGACTTATCACCAATCTGCTTTATGTAGATAACACAATCCTGTTTGCTGAAACTGAGGAGGATCTGAAGCACTTGCTGCAGAAGGTCAAGAATTGCAACTTTCAATATGGATTGAAGCGCAATGTCAAGAAAACAAAGATTGTCACCACTGGGTCAATTGGCAGCATCATGATAGATGGTGAAGAGATTGTTGATAGCTTCAGTTTACTTGGCTCTACAATCAACACTCTTGGTACCAGTAGCCAGGAAATTAAAAGATGAATTGCATTGGGAAAGTCTGCTGTCAGAGACCTCTCCACGGTACTGAGAAGCAAGGATGTCAGTCTGCAGACTAAGGTGTGCCTGATACAAGCCATGATCTTTGTCATTACTTGCTATGTGTCAGAGAGCTGGACAATGACTAGGGGTAATAGAAGGTATGTTGATGCCTTTGAGCTTTGGTGCTGGAGAAGAGTATTGAATATACCACAGACTGCTTGGAGAACAAACATCATGGAGAGGGTGAAGCCAGGCGGCTCCTTGGTGGCAAGGATTCTGAAGCTTCATCTCACATACTTTGGACATGATGCAAGGCGGGATCAGTCCTTGGGGAAGGATGTCATGCTTGGGAGGGTGGAAGGACAGCACAGGAGAGGAAGACCCTGGATGAGATGAATTGATCCAGTCACTGGGGTAATGGAGATAGTCGTGTCGAAGACAGTGAGATTGGCAAGGGATAGAGCAGGGTTTAGGGCTGTTGTACATAGGGTCTGTATGAGTTGCAAGCATCTTGACAGCACATAACAACAGTTTCAAGACTGATGTGGAAACAAGCAAACAGAAATTGTTGGCAATCTCAATCTCTTTCCATGTTTATGGTGCTGCCAATGGGCCCAGTGGTGAGAATCTTTTTTTTCTTGAGATTGTGCTTCAATTCATATTGAAGACTACAGTCCTTGACTTTCTGCAGAAGATACTTCTGGTCTTCCTCAGTTTCAGTGAGCAAGGTTGTGTCATCTACATACCGTAAGTTGTTGATAAGTCTTCCTCCAATTCTGACCCCACACTCCTCCTAATAAATAATAAAGATCAGCCTCCTGAACGATCTGTTCCACATATAAATTGAAAAGGTATGGAGACAGGATGCAACCCTGATGCACTTCTTTTCTGATTTTGAACCATGTGGTATTTCCTTGCTGTGTTCTAATGACTGCCTCCTGGTCGAAGTAGTATAGGTTTCACATGAGCACAATTAGGTGTTCTGGAATTCCCATTCTTCTTAAGATCAGCCACAATTTGTTGTGACCCACACAATTAAATGTTTTTGCATAGTCAATGAAACACAGATAGCCATTCCTCTAGTGCTCTCTGCTTTCCGCCAAGATTCATCTGACATTGCAATGACGTCCTTAGTGCCATGACGTCTTCTAAACACAGGCCTGTACTTCTGGTAGTTCTCTGTCGATGTTCCAGTCTTTTGGATAATCTTCAGCAAGATTTTGCTTGCATGTGATATTAGTGATACTGTTTTATAATTTTCACACTCTGTTGGATAATTCTTTTTTGGAATGGGAATAAATATGGATTTCTTCCAGTCACCTGGTCAGGTGGTGTCTGTCCTCCAGATTTCTTGGCACAACTTGGTGAGCACGTCTAAGGGCAACATCTGTTCGCCAATATACGTCATTTGGTATTTCATCAGCTCCTGGAGACTTGTTTTTTGCCAGTCCCTTAAGAGCAGCCTGGACTTCCTTCTTCATCACCATTGCCTCTTGGTCATATAAAATTCTTCTGTGCCAGCCAGTTCTTTTTGGTACAATGACTCCGTGTACTCTTAAATCTTCTTTAAATGTCTCCTGGTTCATTAAGCATTCTGTCCATTGTTGTTGTTGTTATGTACTGTCAAGTCACCTGTGACTCATAGCAACCCTATGTACAACAGCCTAAACCCTAGCTTTCTATAGGTGGAAGTCTAGTTTTCTCAGCACCACTTATTGAACAGGTTGTCATAGAAATTGTCTTTTTTTACTATGAATGTGTCCCCTTTTTCCTCACCTTTTCATTTCCATTTCCAGCATAGTAGATCATGTGATTGTGTGATCCAAAATGTCCCAAACCAATCCATCTCTATTCGCCAATGCCTAGTATGTCAATGTTTATGCATTCCATTTTTTCCTTAACAAGGTCTGATTTTCCTACACTCATACTTCTCCTATTCCATGTTGCAATGACTAATGCCTGCCTGCAGCTGTTCTTCCTCCTTTGTGATTTGCAGTTTGAGCACTCAGCCTCTGATGCTGTCTCTGCTAGTCTGATCTGAGTGTGGCTATTGTACATAAAGTTTTCCAAGGCCTATTATTCTGGAAGTGGACAGGTAATCCTTCTTCCTAGTCTGTCTCAATTTGGATGCACAGCTTTAGAGATATATTTGACAGAGTAGCATTCTACCCTAAAAAACAGATAAAAGATCTTTCCCACAAGTAGGAATACACTAATCTACATGTTCTTTCCCTGGGAAGAATCTCAAAGAAATTGACAATTTTGAGCTTTCGTCTTTTTCTGGTGGTTTGGCTTTGGTTTTGTGGATTGTTAAAGATATTTCTTGGGAGAGAGATTTAAGTAGATGCAGCAGAGAGCTTTGGACTGATTATAGCAGTTTCCGAATGCCTTAGTCAGGGCACTTAGGCTTGAATCTCAGTGACTTAACACAACAAGAGTTTGCCTCTTGCTCATTCAAGTCCTGCTTGGGTGTTGCTCATCAGGCAGCTCCCTGAGTGGCTCCTCTCAACAGTGATGTATGAGCCATCTGTTTGCCCCTGTGACTCCACTCTGCCAGCAGATTACGAGGGGTTGGGGGATCTGGAAAGAAGTGAGGAGGAGCTCATGGGAGATTTTAGAAGCCAGGCCTGGCAGTGGCGGCAGATAGCACTCCCATGTTTCGCTGGCCCCACCTGGCTGCGAGACAGCTGGAAATGAGGTACCTGTGAAGTAAATGAAATCGATGGTTTGCAGAATGCCGAGTTTATTTGAAGATGCCACCTTATATATAACATCATGCTGTGAAAGCTGGAAGGCCAAGGAAGGAAAGGCCCCTCAACTAGGTGTATTGGCTTAGTGACTTGAACAGTGGGCTTATCAGAGATGGTGAGGATGGTGCAGGACAGGGCACGTTTATTCACAGGTCCCTCTGAGTTGTAGTTGACTTGACAATACTTAATAACAAAAATATTGCATTGGTATCACTCTTAGGAAAAGTCAGAAAGCTTGAAAACCCCAGAGAAAGATCAGTGCCAGATCATACCTGTCAAAGGGCAGCAAAAGTTGTCTTAGAGTGTTTGCCTGAACTTGGACTTTGAAATATTGCCCGCCACAAATGCCACCCACTCGTGTCCTTGCAGATATCAAGAAGCGAACTCAAGTGGCGAAAGGGAAAAGCCCCATATGGAATGAGGTATGACACACCCAGGACAAGGCCAAAGAATAAGAACAACTCAGCAGCTAAGGGGTCACAGGTGGTGTGCAGAGCAGCCAAGGGGACAGAGGGGGTATGCAGAGCAGCCGAGGGAACAGAGGGGGTGCGCAGGTGGCTGCTTCGGTGAACGGGAAGCCTCTAGCTTTTCCCAGGGCCAGGATATGTTGCCCTGAGGGTCACTTTGAGCTGCCAAGACTGCCAAGGCCTGAGCGCTGGGACACGTCTGTTTCGTCATTGTTGTCCTGGACGTTCCCCCCGCCCCCCATCTCTAGGGATAGGTTGTCCATAAACTAGTCCAATCTGACCATCCTGATGTTCCCAGAAATTCAAAAGCAGAATTCCCTCTCATTTTACTACCACCCAATAGTCCCCCAATTCTGTAATCTCTAAAACATCCACAATACTGTTGTTCAAGCAGCAAGAGTCCAGGTAAGATGTCTCAGATCTCAATGAAGGGTGATAACAAACGCCATCAGTGTTTAGAGAAGCACAGTGCCAGCTGTTTCTTGCCTCTTCCTTTGTGTTCCTGGAAGGATGGGATGTGAAGGGTGCACGAAGAATGCTGACATTTCTGTACAATCCACAGACCCTGGTCTGGCATCTCTGGGCTTGTCCCCTGGAAGAAGACTCCTTCTTGCACATTATTCTTCGGGACGTGAGCTCAACTAAACATGAACGGTGAGGCACAGAGAGGCAAGAGAAGCCTGACTTCCCTGATCAAAGCTACAATAGATGATACGTGTTCTGGCAGTAACACTCAGTCAGATGTAAGGAACAGAACCCACTCAAAAAACAAACAAGCAAAAGTCAGATGGGAGGTTGAGGGAGGGTAGATGGGCCAGAACTAGGAACTAGAAAACCCAGCAACTCTTCTGTCTGAAGTTAAACGTCTGAATCTTTCTCTCTGACCTTCTCCTTCATTCTTTTCTCTACGTGACCCTGACTATGGAATCATTGCTTCTCCCTGCTAGTACACAACTAGCACTGACATCTCAATTGAGACTGAAACTATGGTTAAAATTCCCTAAACAAAGAATGACTTAGGACCAATGACAATGGTCTGGCTATTGCTGGCTGGTTCTCACTTAGAAGTGTGAGAGTAGACTTTCTGGGAAGGAGTATGTGTGTGGCTGGAATGATGACTGAGCCATCCACTGCCCTAGAGCCCAGAAGTCTATTCCCAGAGAGTCCTGAGCACTCTGATGGATGCTTCCCTTCATCAGGCCCTTCCATCAACCTCTCTGTCAACAATCAACAACAGCTTCTGAGAGGAAAACCCTCTCCAGATAAAACCATGTCAGGGACTAAAGAGGACACTCCTCCCTCCCAGCTTGTGATCTCTTGTCTGCTCCACCTCTCCCCAGGTTCATTGGTATGGCCACAGTACTGCTCAAGCCCTTGGTGGATCAACCAAATGAAGTCTTACATGTGAAGGAATTACCCCTTCATGGTCATTTCATGAAGATCATAAATGTGAGTTAAGACAGAGAGGGCTGGGAGAGTGGGAGAAGCCAATGAAGCCAGAGGGAACCAGACAGAGTCTCCGCACTACTGTAGTGCTGCTGGCCGCCAAGAGAGCCATCAGCTCCAGACTCTCCTATCCTCCACCCACCCACCCTTCCCACTCACTTACATAAATGCACTGGCCGTCCACAAGGTGTCAGCAACTGCACCAGGTGCTTCAGTCTGTTGGAGTAGCCCTCCAACACACACATATACAAAGGTCAATAAAGCTAGACCAGGATGGGCGAACAGGGAGAAAGTCATGCTGTGCAAAAGGTAATGGAAGGCTTTAAGAGGAAGATATGTTTGAAATGAGCCTAAAGGAGTGGCATGAGTCTCCAGTGGAGGACATGAAGCAGTTGCACAAAGGACAGATAGAGAATGATGACACCTGATATGCTGGAGACTGGGAGAGATATTTGGGAGCCGTTGGGGTGACGATGTGGAGGTTTGGTGGATAGTGAGAGAATTTGGCAATGTTGTCAGTTTCCACAAATAGATATTGTCCTATTTGAGGAAAGTTGTTAGCATCAGTGGCTTCTGGACTACCTTGAAACACATCTCCCTTTCCTCTCCACCTACTTTCATTCTCTCCTTCCACCACCACCTGGTAGCTCCACTATTCTCCAGATTCCTCTCATCCCAGCCCCTGCCATTGTAAACCATTGCTCTCACTGCTCAAGTTTATAAACTCCCTCCTTCCTGCACAGGCCCGTATGGTAAGTTCTCCTACCATTACCAGCATCACTCCAGCCTGGAGGACTGGACTTGAATCTAAGCTGGGTGTAGTTCAAGTACTGAGATTTGGCAAAGGAGCTCAGGGCCTGGTTTACTAGTCTTTTGTCTTTGCTTTGCAGTGCACTATCACCTTACAGGTGTCCCTTGTGACCCAGGATATGAAGACAGGTATGTCTTTCTCTGAGTCTTACCCCACCCTTTCTTTTTTAAAATTTTTTTTTATTAATTTTAATGAAAGCTTACAGAGACTTTGGATTTCCATTTATTTATTGTTGCTGCTCCATCCTTTCTCTGCTCCTTTGGGACCATCAAAGATACATCCTATGGGGGCTACAGAAAAATATTACCACATTTAAGTCCTGGAAAAGACCATCTTTCTAAACTCTTGACTGAGGCCAACCACCACAATGCATCTACCCATCATCTCTGGACATAAAACTCCATCCTCCACCAGAGACTACAGCCCCAAGACACCCTTAGAGCCCAGAGTTGAAGCATTTCCAGAGACTTTGGTCACACAGTAGACAGGTCCATAAACAAACACTAATACCCAAGAGGAATAAGTTCCTTTGAACAATCACTTACATAAGATCAAAAGCCCAAAAGCAAAGATGAGAAACTAGAACGATATAGAACATTCAGAAGAAAGGAAAACTCACTCATGGCCGTCGAGTCAAAACTGATTCATAGCTGGGCTTCCACTGGATTTTAGAGGCTATAAAGCACTTGGGAGGAGCTTGCCCATCTGTTAAAGAGAGCAAGGGTCACGTGGGGAGTGGCATGTCTGACCTTCACCAACTTCATATGAGGAACCTGCCCCTGCCCAGAGTATCAATAACATAAAATCAATTCCTGTGAGGTCAGAAATGTCCCCCACACTCCCAAGCCTCTTTGTACTCATCTCAACACCAATCTTACTACTTGACTGGGTCCAAAATCCTATGTGATGGCTCACAGATTACATAGAATCATATTGGGGGAGTTAAAAGGTTATAATTCAGATTAATAACAAAATATAGTCAAGACAGCTTCCAAAATGTGCACAGGCACCTCAGCCTCAAGCCTCATGGCTCTAAGTGTTCCCAAGTTCTCACCCCGAAATCCTATCTCCCATTCAATTCTCTAGTTCAGCCATCACTGCTGCTGCCATCCCAAGCGGTCCTACAATTTTCGCTGGTTTAAGGGAGGTCTCTGTTCTCTGGTGTAGAAATTCCTTCTAGTGGAAAAAAAAATTCCTATCCTCTGCAGATAGAGCTGTTCAATTTATTGGTGAGACTAGCCAATCTCTTGTAGATGGTTGAGACCAGCCAAACGCCTTGTGGAATGGCAGACAGCTCATCCCTTTGTGAATAGGCCAACATGCCTCACTTGCACAGTCCCGAGCCCCACATAATCAGTCATCTATACTAGAAAAGCCATATTGAGAGACAAACTGCACACAATCTTTATTCCTGGAGTTACTGGTAGATTCAAACTACAGAGAGGCAGAGCCTTTGGGTGAGCAACATACCTCCCTAAGAACTTCAGCACCAGAGCTCTCCAGATGGTAGGAAACCAAGTTGGAAAAGGAGAAAGGGTGGACATACAGCGGGAAATGGAATACTTGTGTATAAATTATTGAATTGGAGGCTAGTTTTCTCTGTAAACTTTTACCTAAAACTCAATCTTTAACAACAAAAAAGAATTGTTAGAGCTTTCAACAAATGTTATTATCATTTTTAAATGAAATAAAACACTTAGCAAGCAAAAATATTCCATCTCCAGTGAATTTCAGGAGTCAGGGATGGCCATTTCAAAAGCCATTCTGTGTGGAGAATGGGACCTATGGATTCAGGCTTCCTGCGGGCTGAAGGGAGTGCACTGCAGTGTTCTTGGGAAGGTCACATGTGGCTTTTGATCATGGCTTCTTGGCTCCTTGCTAGTCAGGAGTGGGTCATTGAGGATAGAAGATGGAATGGGGAAAGAGTCTGAAAACCTCCCTCACCCTGACTCGAGTCCACCTGGACTGGTTCTCTAGATGAAGACCTCCACGGTGTAACAGCAAGAGAAGTGGTATGGCAAAAGGAGATGGTTCCCAGCTACCTCACTCTCCCAGCTCTGTACTCAAAGCCTCAGGACTTTCAGGTAAGGCCCCTCCATGTTCAAAGTGCACGTGGCCTTCTGGATGCCCTTGTCTACTCTCCCCTTCACAAGGTTGTTGTCTCAGAACCTCATGCCGCTGTAAAAAAAGATCTGAGTGATGGTCTTAGACAGCATTTCTTTTCTCACCATTCAGGAGGCCAGAAGTCTAAACCTAGGGTATATCTCTTGAGGAAGCTGCTTCTTTGTCTATTTCAGCTTCTAGCTACTGTTGGCTTCCTAGGCATTTTTGTGCTTATACATGTATTTTCTATATATGTCTGTCTTCATAGGATGTATTCCCCTGTCCAGTATTTCCATGTCTATTCTGTTGTAGTTGTTGTTATGTGCCATTGAGTCGCCTGTGACTCATAGTGACACTATGGACAACAGCCCTAAACCCTGCTAATCATTGTCTCAGACACACCTACCTTCATTACCCCAGTCACTGAGTCAATCCATCTCATTGAGCGTCTTCCTCCCCTGTGCTGTCCCTCCACCCTCCCAAACATGATATTCATCTCCAAGGACTGATTCTTCCTTGCAACATGTTCAGAGTATGTCAGATGAAGCTTCAAAATCCTTGCCTCCAAGAAGCAGCCTGGTTTCATCTCTCTCCAGGACAAACCTGTTTGTTCTCCTAGCAGTCCATGGTATATTCAATACTCTTCTCCAGCACCACAGCTCAAAGCCATAATTCTCTTTCTATCCTCCCTAGTCATTGTCCAGCTCTCTGATGCATAGCAAGTAATTGAAAAGACCATGGCCTGTATCAGGTACACCTTAGTCTCCAGAACGACATTATTGCTCTTCAGTACTTTGGAGAGGTCTCTGACAGCAGACTTTCTCAATGCAATTTGTCTTTTAATTTCCTGGATGCTGGTACAAAGAGTGTTGATTGTGGAGCCAAGCAAATGAAAACTGTCAATAATCTCAGTCTCTTCACTATCAATCATGATGCAGCCAATCGGCCCAGTGGTGACAATCTTTGTTTTCTTGATATTGAGCTTCAATCCATATTGAAGGCTGTAGTCCCTGACCTTCTGCAACAAGCACTTCAGGTCCTTCTCAGTTTCAGCAAGCAGGGTTTTGTCATTTGCATAATGCAGATTGTTGATGAGTTGTCCTCCACTCCTGATGTCACATTTCTCCTCACAGAGCCCAGCCTCCTGGATAATCTGTTCTGCATATAGACTGAAAAGGTATGGAGCTAGAACACACCTCAGGCATACACCCTTCCCAGTATTGAATCATGCAGTGTTTTCTTGCTCTGTTCTAACAACTGCCTCCTAGTCCAAGCATAGGTTTCACATAAGCACGATCAAGTGTTCTGGGATTCCCATTATTCTCAGAGTCAGCCGCAGTTTGTTGTGGTCCCCATAGTCACTTTGCATAGTCAATGAAATACAGATAGTACCTACTTTCAGCCAAGATCCTTCTAACATTAGCTACAATATCCCCAGTACCATGGCCTCTTCTAAACCCAGCCTGCACATTTATAAAAACAGTATGATGGCATGGTAGTGCTAGTGTCTGACCACTACTAATTTAAAAGGGGAAGAATCCCCATCCATGGTGACAGGAATGAAAAGACAATTCCAGTGAGACCCAACATGCCACTCACACTCCACACTTTCTTGTATCAGTTCCAGCACCAACTGTTCTTCCCCTGGCTCTCATTCTACTTCAGGATTTCCTAAGTCATCACAATGACCAGATAGAACTTACAGACAATAGTTATAATTATAGCATTTATTAGAAAAATAACAAGCTGAAGTTCAGATTGGAAATACTCAGGATACAGTTCTTCCATTTGAACAGCCTCTTCTCACCTCAAAAGTAGGTGAAAAATGGCTATAAGCAGCCTGGGGACAGTTGAATCTGGCATCTACTAATTCCACAAAGGGGAACTGTCCCTATTATACAAAACTAATTCCTGTAAGGTAAGAAGACATGGTCTCCCACACCTGCACCTACTTCTACTAATTCCACCACCAATCTCACTACTCTTCTGAGTGTGAAATATGTTGCAATGACCGTACAGACTTCACAGAACTATACTCACGGTTAAGGAGTTTATGAGGGAAGTTAACAGTCTGTAACTCAGTTTGGGAACAAGGAAACAATCCCAAAACCTAGACAGATTTTCAAGCATGATTGCAGACCCTTTGACCTTCAGCCTGATATCTTGAGTCAGTGTTACAAAGTTCTCTTAGTCTTGCCATTTGTGGGGTTTTCCTTTAGTCCTCTGGCAAGTTTGAGTAAAGGCCTCTGGCTTTGGCTCCGAGGGGCAGCAGTCCCACATCAGCTCTGTCTCATGCTGGTTTCTGTTTCTCTGCTGAAGTTGCTGTTGTTCTTATGTGGATCCCAGTCTGGCTGGTAGAGGACTCTCTGCTTCTTAAGAACACATGCTGTATTCCCTGCTCTCTCTTTCTTGCTGGTTGATATTCCAATTTTTGCCACTGAAACCATTTCATTTACACTTAGTGGTATGGTGAGAACTAGCCAATTCCCTTGTGGATTCTGTTTGTATTATCTGCCCAACCATATGACAAAGTCAAAGTCAATAGCTAGGAAAGCCATTTTGAACAGTAAACTCTTGACACCACAGCAGGACTCCCTTTAACCCTCAGGGCCTTGGGCTCTGCCCTGCTTGAACAAGTGTTACAAAGCTCTCTTAGGTCTGTCTAACCTGCCATCCTCCTCCCTACTCTACCTGTAAACCTGGGCTTGAAGACACTCTACTGTAGCTCCCTGGATTGGTAGGCCTATCTCCACACTGAAGGCCATGCAGAAGACCTGGATTCTACCCAGCAGGAGTTCTTAAGGTTTGGGCAAGGTGTTGTTGTTGTTAGGTGTCATTGAGTTGGCTCTGACTCATAGTCACGCCATGTACAACAGAACAAATACTGCCTAACCCTATGCCATCCTCTCAAATCTCTACTGTGCCTAAGCCAATTGCTGCAGCCACTGTGCCATTTTATTTCATTGAGAGTCTGTCTCATTTTTACTCTGCTTTACCACCTATGATGTCCCTCTCCAGGCCTATCCTGTTGTTGTTAGGTGCTGTCAAGTCCATTTCAACTCGTATGAACAACAGGTGTGAACCTTGCCTTACCCTGTGCCATTCTCAAGATCTCTGTCATGCTCAAGCCCAATGTAGCGGTCACTGTGTCATCTTGTTTGAGGGCCTTCCTCTCTTTCATTGATGCTCTCTACCTTTCCCAACATAATGTCTCTTTCCAAGGACTATATGCTTGGATTATGGTGGGAATTTAAGCTCATTCTGATAAGATCTCCAAAGTATGTGAGAAGTCTTGCTTGCAAAGAGCATTATGAGTACACTTCTTCCAAGACAGATCTGTTTGGTCTTTTGGAATCCATAGTATAGTCAATGTTCTTCACCAATAACACAGGTCGAAAACATCAACCCTCCCTTATTTTCTATCTTCCACAGCAGCTGAGGTAACTGAAAGTACCATGGCTGAAGTAAGGTCTAGCTTGGTCCACACTGTGACATGACTCCTGTTTATCATGTTAAAACAATCCTTTTCAAGATATTTGCCTGACACAATGTTTGATTTTCTGACTGCTGCTTCTACAGGCACTGATTATGAATCAGTAAAATGAAATCATTGACAGCGTCAATCTTTTCTCCATTTGTCATGCTATTATTGGTCATTGGAATGGCTGTAAGGATTTTTGTTTTCTTGATGTTGCAGTGTAATCCATACTGAATGCTATAGTCTTTAAACTTTTTCAAATTATAGTCTCTAAGTACTTAAAATAATATTGTCCTTTAATTCTGAATTCTGCTGAGTCATCTTTCTTTGGAATGGTTACAAATATAGATCTCTTTCAGTAACTGATTAGATAATTGAATTCTACTTTCAAATTTCTTGGATCCAAAGCTGCATCCATTTGTTAAAATATCTCAGTTGGTATTCCATTAATACTCAGAGTCTTGTTTTTTTCCAGTGCTTTCAATATAGTTTGTCCCTCTTTCTTGAGTATTATTAGTTTTGATCATATTTGCCTCCTGAAATGGTTGTGCATTTGGCCAATTCTTTTGTCTTCTTTCATCTTTGAGAAAACAAAGCAAAACATGATAATGATATAATAAAGACTTGGAGTTAGAAAATCTACAGGGGAGAGCATGCTCATCACTTTTCAAGCTGAAAGAGCTAGGGAATAAATCCAAGCCTTACTTTGCAATAATGAAGGATTCAAGGGACAAACTACTAGATGATGGAGAAACATCAACAGAAAATGGAAGGCATACAGAGTCACTGGACCAGAAACACAAAGATGAGCACATACCAAGCTCAATTCATTGTACAGGAGATGCTGAGATGAGTTTGAGAGTTTAAGTGAGAATGTTTCCACTGTGAATTCTTGAACCACTTGTCTGTGCTTAATCTCTAACCTGTGTAACCTGACATTCTACATTCTGCCACTTGACCTTGGAAGATGGAAACCACCCTTGATGATGTCACTTCCTTACTTCATCACCAGCATTCAGTCAATGCCCAAATTCCCACTCAAATACCACATAACTCCACCAACCTACCATGTCCCTATACCAAGCTTCTACCATGGGTGCCTGGCATACATGAACTCTCAGATTCTTTGAACTCTCAGATTCCAGTCTCTTCCATCCACTCTTCAGCCAAAATTATCTTTCAAAAATGTCATTCTCATCATGCTCTGCACCTACTCCATGTCTTTAAGACAAAACTCAAACATCTTATAGGGTAGGTTCTGGCCCTCCTCTCCCTGCTGCAGCCCACCCCTCCCTGGACACCTTGCCATTACCATGCACAAGTGCTGTCTAGCTAAGCACATGCCATTGTGTCATTTGGAGTACCATCCTTCTCCCTGTTAGTCTCATCCCTTTTCACTGGGCTGGTTTAGTCCAGGATATGAACTCAGTGTTCTCAAATCACTGCCATCCCTATGTATTAATAGGAAGGCTACTTGCCTGGCTTGATCCAAACTTGTCTATCTTAGTTTCCTAGTGCTACTGTAACAGAAATACTACAAGTATGTGGCTTTAAAGAATAGCAGTTTATTTTCTCACGGTTGTAAAAACTAGAAGTCTGAATTCAGCATGTGTCTGTAAAAGGAGGTGACTTTCTTGGACTTCCTGGACTTGTGTTCTTTCACCTCTTTTGTTACTATGTGGAGCCTGTTCTCTGCCATGAGTGCTTCTGTGTCTAATCTTTTCTTTTTATAACTCATAAGTAATTAGGTTAAGGCTACACCCTACATGATACAACCTCATAAGCATAACAAAGAAAAGACTAGACCTAAACTCTATCACATCCACAGGTATAAGGACCAGGATTCCACCTCATACTTTTAAATGACACATTTCAACCCATAAAATCATCTATGATCAGAGACAAGTAGCTTCCATGACTGTGCCCTCCTAGCTGCCATCCCATCTCTGGTTCCTTCACTCTGCAGATACTTAACTAGACACATCTTTCGTGTATTCCTTATTGTTGTTCTCATCTTCCAATTTTATGCTGAAATGTCATAGTCCATTTACAGAGTTTTAGTAAAGCACATCAAAGCAGAAGATGTAATCACGAATCACTGATCAACTCAGAGATTATAGAATCAGCTGCACACAACATTAAAAATTTTTGGTTCCTTGAAATCCTAGGTAAATATAAAAAGTAAACAATCAAGAAACATTACGCCCAAAAAAAAGAAAAGAAACATTACGCCCATTTCATTCTAGCTCATAGTGACACTGTGTATGCGAAGCAGTGCTGTGTGCTTCAGGGCTTTCAGTGGTTGATGTTTCAGACGCAGTTCCTCAGGACTTTCTTCCAAGGCACTTTTGAGTAAACTTCAGCAGACAGCCATTTGTTTAGTAAACACGTGAAACATTTGTGCCACCCAGGAGCTCTTTACTGGACTTTTCCATTCTATACAAACTCATGGCAGTTGAGAAGAGAAGCGCCAAATCAACCCAGGAGGGCAAAATGATAGCTCTCAGAAGCTCTTGTTAGGAGCCACTGAGTAGGGCTTCTACTGACCTGTTGTTGTTAGGGGCCGTTGAGTAGGGCTCTTACTGACCTGTTGTCATTAGGTGCCATTAAGTAGGGCTCCTAGTGACCTGTTGTCATTAGGTGCCATTGAGTACAGCTCATAGTGACCCTATGAACAAAAGATCTGAACCTTGTCTTGTCCTGCACCATCCTCATTTCTGACATACTTGAGTCCACTGTTGAGGTCATGTTGTCAATCCACATTATTGAGAGTCTTCCTCTCTTTCGCTATCCACCTTTCCAAGCATGATGTCCTTTTTGAAGGAATATTCTCTCTTCGCAACATGCCCAAAGTACTCAAGACAAAGCTTCATCATCCTTGCCTTCAAGTAGCACTCTGGCTGTACTTTGTATGTAAGTGTAAGATGTAGCTGTTCAATTTTTTGCAGTACATGGGATATTCAGTTCTCTTCTTCAATACCACAACTCATAAACATCAATTCTTCTTCTGTCCTTCTAATTCATTGTCCAGCTCCCAGCTTAATAGCAAGTGATTGAAAAGACCGTGGCTTAAACCAGGCACACCTAAGTCTTTAAACTGATAGCACTGTTCCTCAGTACTTTAGAGAGGTTCTTGACAAACTTTGGAGATGTCTTTGAAGGCAAACTCTGCCAGTGCAACTTGTCTTTTGATTTCTTGATTGCTGATACCAAGGATGTTGATTGTGGATCCAAGAGTGTTGACTGTGGATTCAGTATGAAATCATTGACAATTTCAATCTTTTCTCTCTCTTGCCTTTCAGCCCAGTGGTGAATATTTTTACCCTCTTGATATAGAGATGTAATCTTTATTGGAGACTATAGAAGAAGCATAAATAACCAAGGTGTCCTCAGGGCATAAGGTGTCCTGATGGCATGTGGGTAACCTGTCAAGCTACTAACTAAAAGGTCAGCAATATAAATACACCAACTGGTCCGTGGAATAAAGACAGCCATAGAGATTTACAGGCTCAGAAACTTGATGAAGAGTCACTAGGAGTCTGAATTAACTTAATCGTTGTAGGTTTGGGTTCCTGCCCCTCCTTCTGCCCCATGTACCTTCAGCCAGGCAAAGAGCCATGTTCTGCTGACACCCAAGAAAAAAAGTATGCTTTCTTTTAATTTGCTTTATATAGACTATTTCTAACCAGAACCATTTTATTCTTGAGAGAAGAAACCTTGAGCATTGACAAGGGGAGATCAGGCTCCCAATAATGGACCCCTGTGTTCTTCTCTGTAGGTTCGAATAAGGGTTATTGAAGCCCGACAGCTCATGGGTAATAATATCAGGCCACTGGTGAAGGTGACCATTGGTGACCAGGAGAACCACACAAGGATAAAGAGAGGAAACAACCCTTTCTTCAATGAGGTGGGTACCACACTCTTTGAATTGAATGGAGCATGCACCATGTCCATCATGTGCACCAGTCAAGGGCTGGGTTTTTCCTGTAGGCAGTGGACACATTTGCTAACATTTACTGAACACATATTGTGAGCCAAGAACTATAGTTGGCACTAGGACTATAAGCTATCTTATACAGACGATACAAACTTGCTTATAGAAAGTCAAGAATACTTAAAGCACTTACTGAAAAAGATCAATATGGGATGCACCTCAATGTCAAGAAAACAAAAATCCTCACAATAGACCAGTAGGCAACTTCATGATAGATGAAGAAAAGATTAATTTTTTCAATGATTCCATTTCACTTTGATCCACAATCAGTAAATACCCACTGAAACTGCAGTCAAGAAATAATCATTGCATTGAGGAAATCTGCTGCCTTTAAAGTACTAAAGTGCAAGGGTGTCAGCTTAAAGAAAAAAATGCCTAACTCAAGGCATGATGTTTTCAATGGATTTATATACATTTAAAAATTGGACAATGAAAGCAGTTCAAGGAGTTCAGCCATGTTAGGCAATGACCAATTGTAGCTCTGTAAACTAATAAGATCCTTCCTCTTAAAAAAAAGGAAAAAAGAAAAGTTGGCCAATTGATAAGAAAGACAGAAGAAGAATCTATGTCTTGGAAGTGTGGTGTTGGAGAATAGCGCTTAATATCCCATGGACTTTGAAAAGAAAAGATAAATCTGTTTTGTGAAAAATGCAACCAAGCTGCTACATGGCCCAGTGCTGCCACATGGCCCGATGCTGCTGGTGCACTAGGCCAGCACAGCCCAACCTGGAGACTAGACCAGTTTGTCACATGGAGACCCAGTTGGCCCACCACTGCTCTGCTGCCCTGTGCCAGCAGCACCAATACCACAGGTGAAGCCATTTCCTTTCTGAACAGCACCTTGGTACTCCTGGCCCCTCTCAGTGCCAATATTTGAGCTGTGGACACTGTGGACACATCTTAGCTGCTGCAGCTGCCCATTGAGAAGGCTCTAATTCACAAGTCATCTCTGTCCCCAACTGAAACAAATCTTCCCTTGAATCAACGATCAGAGAGAAATTCAGGCAGGATGAGCTACCCTTTCCTACTCTGGAACAGTAAGTTACTAAGCCAAGGTTATCAGACCAAGGTCCTTGGCATAAGAAACTCTACCACATCAATAGCATGGAAGAAGCATACTACATTACATCCTACACAAAGTCAAATTATGATGTCACCCCCCAAAAGTGATGAAAACAAATAATCAGTGTATTTCCTGAAGCCAGAAAGTCTGATGTAACTTTCTAACATAGAATTCAAAAGAACAATGATTGAATATTTTCAATGGGTGAAAGACAAACTCGAAGGACAGGACTCTGCAAGCAAAAACTAAGGAGGATTAAATAAAACATTGTCTTGACAATGCAGATAAAACAAAGAAGGCATTCAAGGTTCTGGAAAAACAAGAAACCATAATCCAGAATATGAGAACCAATGTTTCAGATGCTGTCAACATGTTAGAGGGATATATGAGCAGAGTTGAAGGGCTGGAACACAGAATCAGTAAAATAGGAGATAGATTTCTCAGTATTGATCTACTCTAACAAAAAGCAGAATCAAAGAGGAAGGAAAGAGAAGAAAACATGTGGGACATCATGAAGAGTAATAACATGAGCATAATTGGAATTCCAGAACAGGAAGAAGCAATTAAAGGTACTGAGAAAGTTGTGGAACTATTACTAGAAGAAAACTTTCCAGACATAATGAAGAAAGAGAATATATATACAAGAAGCTAAGTGAACTCCATATAGAATAGAGCTCAAGTACAACAATGAAGGAATGGAATCCAAAGTCTCTGTAAACTTTCATTAAAATTAATTTTAAAAAAGAATAGAGCCCAAAAGAAAAACACCAAGGCATATCATAGTCAAATTTGCCAAAACCAAAGATAAGGAGAGAATTCTGAAAGCAGCTAAGGAGAAACAAAGAGTAACCTATAAAGGAGAGAAAATAAGATTAAGTGCCAATTTCTCAGCAGAAACCATGTGAGCAAGAAGACAGTGGAATGATATATCAAACACTCAAAGAATAGATCTCTCAACCAAAAATACTGTACCCAGAAAAACTGTCCATCAAATATAAAAGTGAGATCAAGATATTCTCAGAAAAGCAGAACCTAAGGGAGTTTGTGAAAACAAGACCAGCATTGCAGGAAATATTGAAAGAAATCCTTCTTACAGAGATGCCACAGAAAGCAGGATGAACCAAAGTAGTCAGCATTAACACTAAAAAAATTCAACAAAACAATAGCAATAAAACCTTACCTCTCAATAATTACACTAAATGTGAATGATTTAAATGTGTCAGTGAAGATAAAAAAAGCAGACTGGATAAAACCCATCAATAGGCTGTCTACAAGAGACACACCTGAAAAGTGAAGATAAAGGAAGACTAAAAACAAAACAATGGAAAGAATATATCAAACAAATTGCAACCAGATAAAAGCAGGAGTAGCAATATTAATCTTTTACATTTCAGTGTAAAAACCATCACAAAGGACAAGGAACATAATTAGATAATGCTTAAAGGGTCTATACATCAAGAGAACAGAACAATAATAAATATCTATGCACCAAATTATAGAGCTGCAAAATATTCAAAGCCAAGATTAACAGAACTGAAAAGAGAAATAGACACAACCACAATAATAGGAGACAGGCCATGGTCTTTGCGATCACTTGTTATGCATCAGAGAGTTGGACAATGGCTAAGGAGGGTAGAAGGAGAATTGATGCCTTTGAGCTGTGGTGCTGGAGAAGAGTATTGAGGGTACCATGGACTGCTAGGAAAACAAACAGATTCATCCTGGAAAAGGTTAAACCAGGTGGTTCCTTGGAGGCAGGGATTCTGAGGCTCTGTCTAACATACTTTGGACATGTTGTAAGGAAGGACCGGTCCTTGGAGAAGGACATCATGCTTGGGAGGGTGGAGGGACATCGCAGGAGTGGAAGGCCCTCTATGAGGTGGATTGATTCAGTGATTGGGGTAATCGGGATGGGTGTATCAGAGACGGTGCGATTGGCACAGGACAGAGCAGAGTTTAGGGCTGTTTTACATAGGGTTGCTATGAGTCGCAAGCGACTCGAAGGCACATAACAACAACAACAACATGCAAAACCAAGAGCCAATGTCATTCTCAATGAAGGGAGATTAAAAGCATTCCCTTTAAGAACAGGAACTAGGAAAGGATGGCTATTATCACCTCTCCTATTCATTATTGTGTTGAAAATCTTAGTGATAACAATAAGAGAAGGAAATGAGAGGTATCCAAATTGGCAAGGAGGAGGTAAAAGTCTCTATATGCAGATGATATTATAGTATACTTAGAAAACCCTCAAGACCCAGTAAGAAAACTACTGGACACAGTTAACCAATTCAGCAAAGGCGTATGACATAAGATCAACATACAAAAATGAATTTGATTTCTTTACAGTGACAAAGAAAATACAGAAATGGAGTTAAGAAAAAACAATATCCCTCACAATAGCTAACCACAAGATTAAATACTTGGGAGTAAATAAATCTAACTAGAACACCAAAGATCTATTCAAAGAAAATTATAAAACATTACTACATGAAACAAAAAGAGACCTGGAGAAATGGAAGAATATACCATGCTCATGGATAGGAAGACTCAATATTGTGGAAATTACAATTCTACCAAAGACAATCTACAAGTACAATGCAATTCAATATAAAAACCAATTTCATTCTTTAATGAGTTGGAAAAGACAATTTCCAATTCTATCTGGAGTGGAAAGAGCTCCCAAAAAGTAAAACACTCCTGAAAAAGAGAAACAAGGTAGGAGGCATCTCACTCTCTGATCTCAAATACAGCCCTGGTGGTTAAGACAACATAGTACTGGGTACAGTGACAGACAAATAGATCAAAGGAATAGAACTGAGAACCCAGAAATCAGCTCATCTACCTATAGTCAACTGATTTATGACAAGGAGGTGAAATCAGTTAAGTGGAAAAACAAAAGTCTGTTTAATAAATCGTGTTGGCAAGATTGGAAAAACCCAGTAACAATAGCAAAGTTCAACAGAGCAGCACACAACAAATGCTGGTGAGTTTGTGTAGAGATTGGAACTCTTATTCATTGCTGGTGAGAGTGTAAAATGGTACAACCATTATGGAAGGTGGTATGGTGTTTTCTCAAAAAGCTGGAAATAGAAATATCATTTGACCCAGAAATTCCACTACTCAGAATATACCCTAAAGGAACCAGAGCTGCCTACCAGACAGATATAGGCACATCCCTATGTTTATTCACAATAGCAAAGAGATAGATACAGCCCAAGTGCCCATGAACAAATGAATGGATAGAAAACTGATGGTATATTTACACAATGGAATACTATGCAGCACCAAAACCAAAGAACTCATAAAATATTACACAACATGGAGGACATTATGCTGAATGAAATATCCCAGTCACAAAAGGGCAAATACGGTACAACATCACTTATAATATGGGACTGACATGAGAGTTGGGGGAAACTAAAAAAAGAGGGAATAAATAATGAACATTGAACAGGTTAAGGAAAGAACCATTTAAAAGGAATATATGATTAGGCATTATTTGTGTCCAGAATAAGAGGTGCATAGCAAAGTGAATTGGGGGGGTTGGGGGGAGGAAGAGAGGAAATTATGTAACAATGAATGAATATTTTTTAAAAAAATGAAAATTGAGTGCTCACTTCAGCAACCCATATATTAAAGCTGGAATAGTACAGAGAAGATTAGCCTGGGCCCTGAGCATGGATGACACACAAATTTGTGAAAGATTCATTTTTTTTTTTAAAGTGAACTGAAGGGGAGCTCTGGTGGCCTAGTGGCAAGGAGCTGCAACTACAATCCCAGAGGTGAATGGTTCGAATCCACCAGATGCTCTGCCGGGGAAGGAGGGATAATCTCCTCCTGTACCAATCAGATCTGATTTGACGGTACACGCACACAAAAATAATAAAATAAAATAAAAAATTTTAAAAAAGTGAACTGAGGGGTAAAGGGAGGAAAATGTGCAAAAATGAGTGGATGAAAATCCAACTTTTCTGTAAACTTTTATTAAAATCACAATTAAAAAACTAGAAAAAAATGCAACCAAATGTTCCTTGTTGTTGCTGTTAAACGCCATCGAGTCGTAGTGACTCATAGCGACCCTATGAATGAAAATCCTGGACACCTCCTGTATAACTTTTGTCCTTTCTCTAGGTTCATAGGGTTTCTAGAGGCAAGCTATTATGGAAGTGTTCCTTAAAAGCAAAAACGTGAGACTTTGGCTCACACATTAAAGCACATTTTCAGAAGGAAGTAGTTTTTTAAAAAGGACATCATGCTTGGAAAGGCAGAGAGTCAGCAAAAGAGAAGTCCTCAATGTGATGTACTGGCTCAATAACTGCCAGCAGACCCGAGCATGGCAGAGGCTGTGAGGCTGGCCTGGAGAGCACAAGGTTCTAATCCACTGCTCATAGGGTCATTCTGAGTTGTCTATGACTCAACAGCACCCAACAATATCAACAGGAATACAAAACTGCATCATTCAGAGTCCTGCATTTGAGAACTCGGTGAACACATTAGGGCACAGCATGGGAAAAACGAACAACTGCAATGAAGCAAGACTAGAGGTGAGAGAAGTCTGAAAGTGATAATTCAATGAAGGCTGTTCAATATTTGCTGTTTCTAGAACTCCAAATTCTAGCACATGCCCAATAGACAATAGGATCTGCATAAATTGTCAAATTTATTGGTTAAGAAACAAACAGATAAAAACATCACAGGAGCAGGCATGAGGTTACTTGGTGGATGGACCCAGCAAAGGATGGACCTGGAAGGCAAAATTTCTGAGGGAAAGACAGATAAGGTAGGGGAAGAGCATTCTAGACAAAGAACATTTTCAAAGCCCTGCAGCAAGAAGCAACATGATTTGCTTGAAAACCATGGATTTAAGTGTAACTAGGAGGAAGTGAGGCTGCAAATGGGCTGCGGCCCCTTCAAAGGAAGCAACTGGGAGTCACTGAGGGAAGGATGTGGGAGAGTGGCAGGCCCACTGAAAGAGAAGTGCTGGCTGCAGTCAGAGGGGTGGGAGAGTGAACTACCCCTGGGGCAGTTAACTGGCTCTTGAGTTGCTGATGACATTGAGATGTTCCAGAGATTCCTAAAAATAGCTTAGGAGACCTGTGTTTTCAGCAGATCATAGCAAGTTAATGGACATAAGGTCATTGGATTGAGTGAGAAAAGTTAAAGAAGAATGTCAGAGTGAGCCTTCAAGTTTACTAAGTCCTTTGGTGAAATGGTGGAAGAAATATCATCCACTATTAATCTTACTGTTTCTATCCCAGATCTTCTTCCAGAATTTCCATGAGGTTCCTGCAAAACTCTTCGATAAGATCATCTTAATCCAGGTGAGGAATCAAACTGGAAGCCTATTTTTCCCAATCCCAGAAGCCCTTCATCCACAGCTCCAACCATAGGTCCACAGTGTCGCCATGATCCCAGGGCAGCTTCTTTACCATTTCCTTCACCTCCTGGCTGGTCTGAGACCCTTTTCCATTATATGCTGTCCTAATGTTTTCTAATGTGCCAATGGCCCAGTCCTGAGCCAGGTGCTGAGGTGAATAGTGTAACTCATTTCCATGCTGTGTTCATAATGGTGCAAATGGTTAAGAGCTCCACTCCTACGTAAAAAGTTGATGGTCTGAATCCACCCAGAGGTATCTCAATCTGCTTATAAAAGGTGAGAGCCATGTGAACCCATTGGAGCACCACATGGGGTTGTCATGAGTCAGTATCCGATAGCACTGAGGTGGTTATCCTGGCTTGGTTTTTCTCACCGTTTGTCCAGCCCTGAAGAATGGAAACCAAAGAGGCGTTTCTCATGGACAGTCCACATGTTCCTAGTAACACAGACACACAGGAAACTACCAGGACAGCATGTGATGGAGAACACTGAGTGCAACATCTTGTTGAACGAACTGGCCTCTTTGATCCTCAGTCCTCTTTAGTGCAATGGAACAGAAAATCTGAGCCTCCCAGGGTTCTTCTGAGAATTTAATGAGATATCTGGTCATTAGTAAGCACTTACTAACCCCTAGAGGGTCCTGCGTGCAGCCGCACTATTCTTCCTACGTGGGTAGGGAAAACTAGAATTGTGAGTAATTGCAATGTTTCTGGGATTCTCTTGCAGGTGATGAACTCCTCAGTACTGAGATTCAAATCAGAGATTGGAAGATTCCAAGTAAGCACTGCATAAAGGGGGTTGGAAATACAGAGCAGATACCCACTCTGAGCTCCAGGCCCAGAACCTGGGAGAAACAACTTCACTATCTGCATCCCAAAAATCTAGAGTTAGAGCTACCTGTCAAGTGATGACCTGGACAAGTGATTCAGAACCTCTGTTTCCCTAGTCTAGAAATATGTAATAGCATATCCAACCCAGAGTCATGTTATTGTTGTTAGATGCTGTTGAGTCGAGTACAACTTGTATGAACCCTATGAACAACCGCTCTGAACCCTGTCCTACCCTGTGCCATCCTCACCCTCTCTGCCATACTTGAGCCCACTGCTGCAGTCACCATGTCAATCTATCTCGACATCCCTCTCTTTCACTGACCCTTCCAAGCATATCTTTTTCCAAGGAATGTCTTAGAAACGAAGCTCTGTCATCCTTGTCTCCAAGGAACACTCCAGCTGCACCTTTTCCAAGGCGTATTTGTTGTTCTCTTGGCCGTCCATCCATGAGATGTCCAGTATTATTCTCCAACACCACAGCTCAAAGGCAGCGATTCTTTTTTTGTCTTCTTTATTCATTGTCCAGCTGTCAGGCACATTGCACATAATCGAAAGGGCTGATGTATGTTACTGTTATTGTTAAGTGCTATCAGGTCAGTTCAGAACCACAACAGCTCTCAGTACAACGGGAAGAAGCACCACCTGGTCCCAAGCCATCCAAACTATTGTGGTCGCTACTGTGGGGTTGTTTCTGATATTGCTTGACCACCATTGATACCATGCACTGTTTAAATCTCTGCGCTAGAAAGTAGAAATGGAAGAAAAAATAAAACCCCCAATATATTGCTGTTGACTAGATTCTTACTCTTGGCAGTCCCATTTGTTAGAGGAGAGCCTCTCCATGGGACTCTGTCAATTGGAATCGTGACAGACAGTCTCACTGGCTGCGTTTTTCTCCTGAAGCTTTCTGGGCTGGTTTTGCTGAACAATGGAGCAGAATCCATTTGCACCATCCAGGGACATGCAGACATGAAGCAGAAAATAGAGAAAGGCCACCGTAAGGTGCTGGAGAAATCAGATGAAGATTGTTTCCAGGGAGGAGAGAGGGAGAAGATTTCCTCTGGGAAAATTTTCCTCACTGAGAGCTTGCAGAGGCATGGTGGTCTGAGTGAAGATTCTCCAAACCCAGGAAGATATGGGAAAAATAGGACTGTCGGGTCAAAACCAGGATGTTCCATTATATTTGGATTTTAGATAAACAATCAGTATTTTTAAAGTAGAAATACATTCTGAATATTACAAGGCTTCTTACCAACGTTTGCAGGAGATGTAGTTATACTTTAAGAAAGTTTTTGTAATTTATCTGAAATACAAATTTAGGTGGATATTATGCATTTCCATTTGCTAAATTTGACAGCCCTTAAAAAAAGGACTTTGCCCTTGGGAAAGACAAACATGGGATCAATAAGAGTAAGATTTCTTTTCCACTGTTAGTAGCAAGTATGTTACATTTACAAACTGCTCATCCCTCAACTCATCTACAGAAAGAAGCCCAAGCTTTGAAACTAAGAGCATCTTTCATTAGTTGCCCTTGAGTCCACTGCTCACAGTGGCCTGACAAACAACAGTTTTGAACCTTGCCCTCGGGTGTCTCCAAGGTTCAACTTAGTGCTAAACTCAATGTTAAGTGCTCAACTACTAACTGAAGGTTGGTTGTTCAAAACTACCCAAGGGAACCTTGAGAGAAAGGTCTAGCAATCTGTTTCCAAAAGATCACAGCCTCAAGAACCCTGTGGAGCTGTTCTGTGCTGAAACAGAGTCAGAACTGACGTGGCAGAAACTAACAACCGAGAGCTGACACAGAAAGTAAAAAACATGCTTTGCCAAAGGCTGCTGTACTTTCTAGACAATGGCCAGCTATGATAAGAACCACTGAAGCAAGTTACAGGGGTCAGAGAAAAGTTGATCTTGACCAGGGTTTTTTTTTTCTTTATCAATTACTTTTCTTTCTTACTTACTTTTTATTATGAAAAATTTCAAACGTACACAAAAGCCTAGTCTTATACACATCACATTCTCATCATCCAACCGGACTGATTTGACCAACCCCAAGTTTTTTCTACACACCCAGCTCCTTCCCATTCCAGATGGCTTATTTTGAATAAAATCCTGATGATACATAATTTTAAATATTTCAACATGTATATCTAAAGTATATTTTATTTAGCATAATGATGGGGTTCAAATCTGTTGTTGCTATCTCCACAGCACCTGACAACATAACAATACAATTAGGGAAGACTTTTTATGTTGTGGATTAGGACCACTAAAGTTCTTCCAAGCTTTTCTTGGATGAAGTTTATAGTCCTTGGTTTTAGTCCTAAGTCCATGATCCACCTTGAGTTGGTTTTTGTATATGGAGTGAGGTGTGGATCTTGTTTAGTCTTCTGCATACAGCTTTCCAATTTTGCCAGCACCATTTGTTAAAAAGGCTGTCATTTCCCCACTTAACTGATTTCATCTCTTTGTCAAAAATCA